GTCGGTATGAGATTTGATCATATGAGTCACAAGTCAGCCGGCGTCAAGTCAAATCCCCACGCTTGGGGTGAAAGTCAGAGTCCGGTGGTGCGATTTTTTCCTACCACACCGTTGAGATTGTTCACAGAAGAGAGCAGTCTGCTCTTCAGTTACTTGAGATGTCCTGGTTCGTTCAGTGGTTAAGGCTCGCCATCTCCCTCGTCAGGAAGAAATCCAGTTCTCGTTCCAAGTGAGTGATCATAGGAGTCGGGATCAAACCCAAGGAAAAAAAAAACCCAGCCTGTAAACAACAGGACTGTTAGCGAGTTGGCATCGACCCTTCTCGTCACATCACAGCATAAAGTCTTACAGACTTAAACAAATGCTTCACTCTATTGGCATAGCCAATCATGTTTGGGTTCACAGTTCAACTAACATAACATCAATTTGATTGTCTATTAAAATAATTCTCAGTAGCTCTGGAAATATAATTACATATGACAACAATTGTTCAGCTCAATAGGCTCAGTTAGATTCTATTACTCTACACTATTCGACAAGAAATACATTCATGACAACAAGGATACATTTAGTTGTGTTTCTATACAGCATTGTGACACCTTGTATATCTGTAACACAATAAATAAATAAATAAATAAATAAATAAATAAATAAATAAATAAATAAATAAATAAATAAATAAATAAATAAAATGTTCTATAACAAAATTCAACAAAATATAAATTCTGGTCCTTTGGTCCACCTTTGTAAAATAATTCCTCCCTAATCAGTTAGCTTTTATTTATTTTTATTTATCTATTTTTTTTTATTATTAAATGTTTGGTTAAGGGACGCATTGCTAATTCTATGGCGTTAGCTATAACGCCCCTGAGGACCTTGTACATCTAGGCCGTACCACCGTTAACTGGCGGTTTGAGCCGTTAACTCCTGGGAATCCCATATGCCGTACCGCCGTTAACTGGCGGTTTGAGCCGTTAACTCCTATATGCCCTACCACCGTTAACTGGTAGTTTGAGATGTTAACTCCTGGGATCTAACGTCTAGCAGCCCACTGCTGTCACCTCGGTTGCTGTAATTAGCTTTTTGAATTTAATAATTTACTGAATTTAATCTCATTCACTCACCAACGCGCTCCAACGGTTCCCTCCTACAGAGGATTGGTTCACTCTGTCGTCTCCACGCAAATCTATAAGAATGGAATTAATTTGATAAGCTATTTAAGTTTCTTTTTTTTTAAGTTGCATCGTTAGCTTTTTCTCTTCTTTTTTCTTTACTCACCGCGTTGGTTCCAAGTTCCTAGCTCTTATTAGAAGGAGTCAAGTCCGCCTCTCCCTCTATCTATGCGGCACCCAAATCAGGGTTCTTCACGGCCTCGACCGTTGTTTTTTTTTTCTCTCTCTCTCTCTCTCTAACCGCTCAGTCTTTGCTTTCTGTATCTGCGTGCTGCACAGCCGTTTGTCTCTCCTCTCGCTCAGCTGCGTCGCACGGTTTTATTTCGCGGAGGCGGGACTTATTTCTCTCAGCCAATGAAATTTCAGATTCCCACCTGGACCAATAGTATACAGCTTTCCTCTTCTGTTTCTGTTAGTGATGTTCAAGATTCTTGTTTTAACCGATGTTTAATATTAAACTCGTTATTTTAGTTATTCACCCTTCCAATAATTCATTATGAAATTATCTATTAGTTAATTAGATATCTATTAATTAGTATTGTTAATTTCCTTAATTTATATTTTATATTTTATCTAAATTGAGGATGGATCATATTAGTAAGCCAATTAGTTAATACCTCATTAAGGTTCTAGCTTCTGGGTTACACTTGGATCTCTGTCTTCTCTAGTCTCTAGTGTTTTTATCTCTAGTTTAGATCTTGGACATTTTGGATTTTTGGCTTCCAGCCCCTTTTTGGATTTAGTTTTGATTTTGGACTCATCCTACAAATAAAGGATTTTCTTTATATCTTCTCCTGCCTCGTGTCATCTTGGATTCTGCATTTTGGGTCCTAACATCCTCGTATCACGGCAAGGACATGTTTGTGGAGATGGCCTGAATGACTTAATCAAATTAATAAAAACAAAACTGTCTGATGGGTTTGGCTTGATTCATCCTTGTGCTCTTGAGTTATGATAAATGGGTAATTAGGGGAGGTAGCTAAATGTTCTGCACACAAAATAAAACGTTTTGTGCTAAAAAAAAATGCTTGAACCTTTCAGTAAAACAAAACGTGAATGCAAAGCAGGCATTTGTGTGTTTTTCTGCATGAGTGCTCACATCTGCACAGCACTTTGAGTGTGTGTGTGTGTGTGTCACTGAGAGGTGGAAAGGAAAAGTACAGGCTACTAAAAAGTCTCTGTGGCGTGACACCCTCCTGAGTCTGGACGATGCATTCAAATACAATATTTACCTTTTGCAGCACGTTTCTCAAACACACACCGAGTCCCATTTGAGAACAATTAGGAAGGGAGAAGAATTCAAGAGGGAAAAAAGGGGGGGCAACATAGCAGTTCCAGTACTTCAGAAACCTCAGGATTCTTGGATTAGAGTCTAAACATGTGATAACTCATGATTTTCGTCTCTCAGCCTCTAATAAAACGGGCTGCAAACGTAATGCAGTTTCCTGAACGGGAGCAGATGAGCACTGGGATTTATGTAAAACCAGGGAACGCTGAACATGTTCAACTGTTGCTGGGATTAATGGAAATTATCACAAATTTCCAGTCGCTTTTATTGCTCAAGTAATGGAAATTATTTCTTTAATCTTTACATGTTTTAAATCAACATTTTCCTCATTTTTTCACAGTGGATATTGAGTATAAAGTGGCAGCAAATCTAAACAGCCTAACGGAGCAGATCCCAGGGATTTGACAATTGACTGTTTCAGAATAAGAACAGTTTACTGTTTTAGGTTAGAGTTTCGTTTATCTTCAGGTATGTAACCGACCCCGTCCACGAGCCACCACAGAATGAGACAAATTTCACAGTGAATAAGTGCTATCCTGTTTGTTTTCTGTGCTATTTTCTATTCTAAAGGTCAAATTAAGGCAACACTTTTCTCCTTAATACCACATCAGTCCTCCCTACGTTCCTGCTTGGTTCTGCGGGCTCTTACCAGGGTGTTTGGTGTTCAGGATCTGGTCTTCGTCCCTATATTTGTTATCAAAGCAGCATGTCGTGCAGCACTGTAGTTACTGACTGACAAATCACCCACGAGAGTCTGATTTAGACTCCGGGTCCAGAACTCAGTCTCTGAATTAGGCTTTTGTTCCTATGATTAACCAAAGGAAGATGAAGACAGTGGCTTCGTCTGAGTTCCAGGCTGGATGCTAAGGATCTAACCCTGCCTGTGTCTCCAGCCACACATGGAAACAAAACCGATCCATTTTTTCAAATACTTCGTCCTAATTCCTAAATCCACCTTAAGAAAAATTCTCACAAGAGTACAGGGAAAGAAACAAATCCTTTTTATATTCATACAGTGTACTATCCTGCCGGAAGGAGCCATCAGAAGATGGGTCCACTATGGTCACAAAGGCATGGACATGATCAGCAAAAATAGGTGGGCTGGAGTTTAAACAAGGCTCAGGAATCCAAAGTGGCACAAGAACATCTCCCCCCAACATTACACCACCAGCAGCTCAAAGCATTGATATAAGGCTGGATGGATCCACGCTTTAATGTTGGTGACACCAAATCCTTACCACATCATCTGTGTTGCAGCTTGAGAGTTCATGCCAGCAATACGGTTTGGCCAACTGTATTCGCACTCAAAGAACCATCCTTCAAGTTGAAACTTTCTGTGCAAAACTGCAAGCTGCATCAGATGCATAACAGCTCCGCCAGCATTCAGCAGCCACCCGAAAGTATCTTTTTGACTAGCTAAGGCTGTGTCCAAAGGATACTGCGACCTTCGGACACCCTAGAAGTCCAAATCCCTCTCCAACTTTGTTGAGACGACTTCGTTGTCGGCTGGATCTCCTAAGAACTTTCACTACAAGGGTTTGTAGATTCTGCACACTGACATGGATGACGTGGATGGTTTTATTAAGTTATAGTTTGTTAAACCATTAAATTCAGCCACATTTGTTTATCACCCAGACATCACAAGTTTCTAAGGCACTTAACTCGGCTTTTTCGCATCACATCTAAGCTCAACCTCCCCCTCGCGTTGCCTCCGTCCAAACCCGACCGATGACGAGGCGGCTCCCGTCGTTCACTTCATAGAGCCGGCTTTTAGAGCGACCGACACATCACTAACGTGTTCGCTAGCAAGATGGTTAAGGTTAGGATAGGGGTGAGGGGAAGGTTAAATAACAAGAGGATAAGGTTAGGGTGAGGTACAATGAGCTTGTTTGGTGCCCTGGCTACGGACATCCCATCGCGTCAGTTTTACGTTGCATTGGGATCTGCAGTCAGAAAACGGAAACACCCCTTTTCATACATTAGTGACGAAAAAGGGCACTTTTGGCGTCAGGGGTCTGACGCGGAGGGCGGCTGGCCACGCGTTTGATTTTGGCATGCTGCAAGTGAGATTGTGTTGGTCTAAGTCCCTGTAAACCCTAGAGATGGTTGTGACTGAAAACCCCAGAAAACCAGCAGGTTATGAAAGACTGTAGACCAACTTGTCTGGTACCAACTAACACTTCCATTCACATCTCATTTCTTCTCCATTCTGATGATCAGTTTGAACTTCAGAAGGTCGTCTTTACCACCTCTAGATGCCTAACTGCATGTAGTTGCTGCCATGAGATTGGTTTATTTGATATTTGTGTTAACAAGCATCAGAACAGTCGACACTGAGTTTATCTTTCTGTTCTCATAACTAAGCTGATCACCACTATCTGGATTTGGCCACATGTTCAGGTACCGATCTTAGTTCATGCCTTTACTGACTATATGCTGAAAACTGGGTCCCACACACTTTACACATTTTGTTCATGTGACAATTAAAATTAAAAAAAAATGTATGTAATTTCTTTATTTTCATTTTGTGTCTTTGCCAGATGGCTTTCTGAGACCCGTCTGTCGTCTGTGCCAACAGATGCTTTTGCCAGTATGGTCAACATCTCAAGAATGTGAGTGTATATTTATGCTCATGTTACTGCTCGAATATAAAACTTTAAATGGTCTTTTGTTGATTTTAGAATATTTTCACACTTCTTCCTTTTACCTTTTTGTCCCCCTTAACCTGCCAGGTTATACATTCTCTGTTAAATATCACAGCTGGAAGAATTAACAGGTTCTTTTAGTGGGAATGCTGGTGTTTTAACCATAGCTGGGCTTGTACCTTTCACTGGATGTCATTAAGGGGAGTGAGGAAAGGAAACTAGTCCCAGTATAGGTGGTCGCTCTGTGTTGAGGTTAAAGATGTGATTGCGTTTTGATCCTCAGTTGCTGTTTCCATGTCCAAATCACACATGAGAGGAACCCAACTTGGATTAAACATTTACTGAGCTTCATTTGTGCAAAGCAGGTGTTTCCACTTGCTCTTTGGTTGATGTTCACCTGAAACAACTATGAAAGAAAATAAAGTAAAATCAGGCAGATTGTCATAAATTTGTGTGACAATGTGTAGTTTTTAACCTTTAATCTATGCAAATATTAATCAAAATGATGTTGTAAATGAATAAAATGATGTCCAGTTGTTGAAAAATATTGGTGGCTTTGTAACATATACCCATAAAAACAAAAATAAAATACATAGAGCACGGGTCTAAGACTCTGTGGGACACCAAAATAGACACCATGTTTTATGTGAGCCAGCTAGGGGTCCTTTGCCTTTGGATGGCATCACACCATGTTCATAAAAGTTATGTTAGCATGTTGACACAGGAGATTTTGATTGGTAGAGACAAATTTGTAATTGTTGTCCGTAGTTTTTTTTCTTGGGGGGGGGGGGGGGGGGGGTATTTACCCAAAGGAAAATATCAGTGAATAAGTAAGACCCATTGCTCTGAAGATATGGAGAAAATTTTAAAAGACGTATACCTTTTGAATAAATAGCTTTAATTCACATAGGAACTAACGAAATGTATAGAATTCCCTATTTATACAAAAGGTCAACTAATTATGTAAAAGCATTTAAAAATGTTCACATATAGGAACAGTTGTGCTTTCTTAGGGACCGTGTAAGCCATAACTCATTCTGTTACTCTCTCTCACACACACACACACACACACACACACACACACACACACACACACACACACACACACACACACACACACACACACACACACACACACACACACACACACACACACACACACACACTCTTCATTTTCGCATTTATACATATTTTGTCTCTGATATTCTTATAATGTCAAACCAGAATGTGTGTACTTTTGTGCAAGTGAGAAAATGTGTGTATGAGAGGAAAATATATGAATGTTAGAGAAAGTTTGGTTGAAACAGAAGGCAGACCACCTTCCTGCTCCGTGATTGGCTGAGAGGTTCGAAGGCAGGTCATAGTGAAGAGAGAAGGGCACTCATCATGGACGATCAAGATGAATGTTGTAACCACCCTCCTCACTTAGGGTGCCACCATGACAACAGCAAATAACTCCACCTTTGCAACACTGAATAAAGCAAATAACTAAAAACATCACTACACAACCCTCTTCCCACAATAAACATGCATAAACACCCCAAAATAGATAAATAACTAAGACGATGACTACCCACAATGCAACGTGGGCGGGGTTATTTGCAGTTTTAGGCTGACTAAACTCTGGTCATTCGCCTAAGGCGTCAAACATTGGGGTGCAAAACTTGCTTGTGATAACTTCAGTGCAACTGAGTCCTTCCTTGTTCTGTGCTTTTCTGTTCTGTCTCCAGAGTCAGAGCTTCTCAATAGCACACGGTCCAAACTGGAATGAACCAGGTTTTTGGTGGGTGTAACCAAGAAAACTTGATTTTTTTAAGTGGTTTGAACTCAAGCCTATAGGTACAATAAGCTAGGCCATTAAAAAGTACAGTTTACTCAAACTTATAAGTGGTATTTAAAAAATACACTTGTTTAATCAAATCAAATTGAATCAAAGATACTTTATTGATCCCAGAGGGAAATTAGAGTTTCAGTACACACAATTCAGTGATCAGACATACATAGGCAAGACACATGACAAGAATTGGTGACTGTGGTCATTCGCAACCCTGAGTCGCGCTACCTTAATAGAGATTAAAAAAAGTTTCGGACCAATGTTTTTGAGTGACCTTCAAGAGTCATTGATTTGTCAAAAACAACACCCAAATTCCTTAAGTTCATCTTGACAGCAGATGATAAATGACCAAGTTTTAGACTAATCAGGGGAACCACACTCTCAGGGGCAATGATCAGACATTCAGTCTTTTCAGAGTTTAACTGAAGGAAGTTTTCTTCTAGCCAGCTGGTTATAGCTGAAAGAAACTTTAGTAATTCAGTTTATAGAACTCAGAATTCTTAAAGGAGCAGTACAGCTGAATGCATCTGCATATAGGTGATAAGAGACATTATGAAAAGAATCAGTTATCTGTCCAAGAGGGTGTATGTACAGTGGAAACAACAGTGGACCCAAAACAGAGCCTTGGGGTACCCTGCAAAACAGATCGGTGGAATCTCACATGAGTTGATTTATGCAGATACTGTAACTTCTGTTAGAAAGCTAATTAAGGACTAATTTGTCCATGTTAAAAAGTCTCAGAAATGCATTAAAACAATGTAAGCACAATAGTGAACCAGATACATGACTGTAATAGTGGCAGGATACCTCAAAACAGCGCTACACCCTCTGTTGTCCTGGTGGGGAATTGTTTCGCAACATTCCCCAGCTGATGAAGAAGTCTGATAGCAAAACGTCTCCGTCAATGCGTGTGCGTCTCTCGCTCACGGGAATGACAGAGAAGTATAAATTAGGCTTTACAGAAATCAGCCGCTTGCCTCACAAAGTTGGGCAACAAAATCTTATTGTTAATCAAGACAGTTTCATTGGTTTCTTTGTTATTGTAAAAGCAGTTTGAGGTTTATTAGTTGACTAAATGTTCAGTATTAGTAATTCCAGTAAGTTTTATTGATACCAAAGTTTCTTCCTATTCGTCTCCTTTAAATAACACCCAAAACCCAAAAATGGTGTTTTTTTATAGCCTTAGGGAAATTTCTGGTTTGATTTCAAGTGATCTTCTTTTCAGATATCTATATGTGGACGTGAGGCTACAGAGGCTGGAGAGGCACTCCTTTTATAACCTGAGGAGAATCACCCACATGTGAGTAACTTTTAATCTTGCTGTCAGCAAATTGAGTCTGGAAAGAAACTTTAGGAGCTTTTCTCTCCCTTTTACTCGGTTTATTGGTTTCTCATCAAGGTGCTGCAGGATAATATCGCAAATTTATGGAGCTTATAATAAACTATTTTTGGCTACTAAAATCTGATTTGGTTTATAAAAAGTTTTACTGAGTGAAATAAGAATTTACTAAGTATTTTTCTACATTTCAAGGACTGTTCTAATATGACCATGGTGTGTGCATCACCAATATGGTATTTTAAACTAATAAATTCATCAACAAGGATCCTTAAAATGTTGTGGATCTGACTCTTGCCATGTTCTGTACAATTATTCCCGGCAAGGTTTGCTTGGTATCAGTTTATTTTTTTAATATAACAGTTAATGTAGTTTGTTTTGGAGAGAGGAAGGACCTATTTTTACCAGCTCTTTTTACATTATTTGTTTGAAGTTCATTTTGGTTCTTATTAAATGGTACTAGGCAGTTCAGTTGCAGGGGCAGCAGTAGCTCAACAGGTTGAGCGGGTTGTCCAGTAATCAGAAGGTTGCAGGTTCGATCCCGGCTCCGGACAGAGAATTCTGCTGTTGTGTCCTTGGGCAAGACACTTAACCTTGCCTGCTGGTGGTGGTCGGAGGGGCCGGTGCTCGGCAGCCCCTCTGTCAGTGCGCCCCAGGGCAGCTGTGGCTACATCGTAGCTCATCACCATCAGTGTGTGAATGTGTGTGTGAATGGGAGTGTGAATGGATGAATGATACACTGTAGTGTAAAGCGCTTTGGAGTCCTTACTCTGAGAGGCGCTATACAAGTGCGGGTCATTTATCGCATTCCCTTTCAGTGGATTCACTCGGGTACAACAAAAGTACTATGGGATATCACGCCCTCGTGTGGCCTGGCTGAAAACACATTTAATCACGCCTGTAAGGGCAAATGAGCATGATGCTGGGTGATGGCCCCGCCCTCCATCTACATGCCCCCAGCATCACCGGCATTTCTCAGTTCTTACTCTCTTCACCTCACTTATAACACGTAAGTACAAATAAACTACTGTTAGCTATGCTATTGAAAAGTTACCTTGACTACTCGCTGGCGTTGATTCTGTTTCTGGTCAGCATTCGCTACCTTTATGTGGCTCTTTTAGCTTTCTGCCTCCATGCTCTTTCGCCTCTGCTGCTCCGCTCTGTGTCTCGCCATGAGCACCACGTTGGACTCTGCTTGGCGAAAGATTGCTTCGCGTCCCTGCCCTCAGGACTGTGGATTTTTTCTCCACGAGAAGCACCTGCACAAAGCCTGTCCTGTCTGCCTGTGGATTCTTCATGCCAACAGAGCACTCTCGGACCTGGAGGTTAGTGAGTTCTGTCGCCAGTTCCGTTGTCCCACACTCAGTTGGCGTGTGAATTTCCTTCAACGTGTCCTGGGGGACTCTGCGGGTTCACAACAGGACCCCACACTCTCCGAGTCGCCTCTGTGCCTTTGCACTGTTCTGACGCGTGTGGTCTTGTGATCAAGTTCCCCGCTGCAAGCTGGGCAGATCACATGGAGGTGACAGAAGGGCTGACCAAATCTGACCTGGAGATTTCCCAGTTATCTCGTCTGGTTGAGGACAAGAGGGCATTCTGGACATATATGTCAACAGTCACGACCTGCTGAGAACTAGGCAACTCTCTTTACGGTGGATTGTGTTACTGTTTCTGCTGCCTAAACTCCTGAATGTCGGGAGGACACTTCTTTCTTCCACTTTGCGGACGAGCGGTGGAGAAATTTGAAGTGGACTGGCCAACTCCTCCTCCAGCCCAAATGAGGTCCCATTTTTTAAAATCCCCACCAAATTGGCTGAGGTCAAAACTTATTACCACCTTTCTCGACTCTGCGGCAGAGCTTGCGTTGTCCTTGGGGAAGCACTGTCCACCCGCACCGTGGTGTCGGGTTATGGGCAGTTTGTGAACCTCGACAGTGCCGAGACGTTGGGGTTTGTGAACCTTCCCCCTATGGAGCCCTTACGGGATTCCCCTGAGCCTGAGATCAGTGGTCTTCTTCAAAAAGCAGCTGAAAACTCACTCATTCAAGCTGGCTTTTGCAAGACCTTCACCACCCTCTCCTTATTCTGTTCTTTTTCCACCTTTCCTGGGATTCATTGATTTCCCTCTTTCCTGCTCATTTTCTTTCTCCCTTTCCTTACATTTTTGTTGTTCTTTTATCCTTTTAAACATATTTTTAATAATTTTAAAAATCTTTTTCTTTTTTGTTTTTGTGAAGCACCTTGTGATTTTTATCTTGAGAGGCGCTATATAAAAGATTGTCTTCTTGTTATTTGGCCCTGACCTGTAACAATGGGGTGAGTGGACCTGCTGTTTACAGTCTATGCAGTGCCAGTTTTACTCCGCACAGCTGGAGAGGTTTTACCAGGCCCAGGCCACCTCCACCCTTGCACCCAGGTCTGCCACCATGTTGCAGACCTGCTTACCAATGTGTTTGGTGGACCTTGGAGCTCTGGTCCCATCCGGCAGCTCGCCCAACCCCCTCATCAATGAGATGTGAGACCTAGATGCTTGGAGCTGTTACGCAAGCCATCATCTCACATCCCCTGCCTCGGTGTCGCCAGCGGCGGTGGTAAGCCCTGTTGCAGGTCGATGGCCCCAGCCCTTACCTCCCACCTAGTCTGTCTGTTGTAAGGGCCCTCCTATAAGCCCACAGAAATGCTCTGTGAACCATTTAAGGAAGACTCAGTCGTCCTGATCTCAGGACCGAGTTTGTTCAGGACTTGGACTTTGCCGAACTTCCAAGTCTCAGTTTTCATTGGGCGAGTTGGCCACGTTCGGGTGCTGTTTCATCCCCCAGTCCCAAAAGACTTTATTTACTGTCCCAGGTGGATGAACGTTGCACTGGTTCAATAGTTTTGCACAATGGCACTAAGTAACTTTAGTTATAATCACTTTAAAATAGTGAAATCCTTTTTTATATTTTAACCAGTTTAACCAGTTTTTCAGAGTTAATAATTCAACTGAATTTCCACAACAGAATGATAATAAAAGGACCAGTAATAGTTTTTATATCCATTTATGTGTATTTTTAATTAATGTTCCACTAATTTCAAGCTAAGATGAGGTGGCTAGGGATTATTATATCTCCTTTATCCGGTGACAAGGCCTTGTGCAGTGCTGTTTGGAGGCCAGACAGATGGGATGTTTGTGTCTGCAAATTAAAAGTTAATTTCTGGTCATTTGTGATGTAAATACTGGCCTTTGGGTAGACACATTAAATACACATTATTGTAGATGTTGTCTATTCCAACTGAGACCAAGCTTTTCCTATTAATATTTACTAACACATCAGAGGTTATGTTCAAAAGAGACACCCTGAGGTTGGTTTATTTATTTATTTCAGCAGAGGAGACAAAATAGTTATTAAATTTTCAGTACTGATATTGCTCATACTTCCATGCATCTTATGAAATTTAAACATATGTAGCGATTGAAAGTGATGGTGTGTGTTTTCCCTGGCCATAGGGGGCAGCACATACCTAAATGATTGCAAGCAAGCAGTAATTTTGTGTCAGAGTGAGACCTTCCCAACGGGTAGCCATTAGAGTCAAAAATCCCTGGGAGCACTTTTAGTGATTTGTCAGATAGTTCAAACTTCAGCAAAATGACAATCACATAACACTTGTTTTCATCACTGGCATCAAGCGAAGAGGGAAATGTGTAAAACAACAAAGAAGGAAATGTGGCGTCTAACATGGCGTCCCCCAGAGACTTAGACTCGCTCCCATGTATTTTACACTCAATTTTTACGGTTACATGTTATGAAGCCGCCAATATTTTTCATCATTTAATTGACATTTCGATCGATATTTCCATAGATTAATGGTAAAAACCACACATTGTCTCTTTCGGAGTGCAGCAAGACAATTCTGACATTTATAGCGACATTTATAAATGAACATATACCCAAATAAATGACTACATAATGTGAAATTTATAGCATTATGTATGTACTGGTAAAAATATTTGGAGATTAGAGAAGTTTTAAGATGGCAGCAATCCTGGCTGCACTGAGACTCTTCAGCAAGTCAAAACAGGTTTCTCAACATTTTAACTTACACACTCAAACAATGGATGTTTTTCTTTTTTGGGGGCTTTTCTTAAATATCTTTTAGAGGAGAAACGATAATAATATTATCTGCCCATTTAAACTGCTGAGGGTTGTTTCTGTGTTCTAAGGTTTTACTTTGGATCTCTGGGGGCTATATCCATTTGATTGGTGCCATGTGGGGCCGTACCTAAGATAATGGCATCCCTCCCAGGTTTCCTTCAGGGTCAGACGTGAATTAATGTTCTGCTTCCTGCTGGCTGCTCCAGGCAGACAGCAGCTGTGGATCAGCACTAGAATCTGGAATCCAGAGGCAGTTGGGGGAAGTCTGGAGTGTGCCACCGTCAATTTAAACCACCAATTTTATGAATCCTTAGTTTTCTTTTGCAGATGAAGGAATGCAGGATTTCTGGTTAATCTTTGTCATTGGCTGGTTATTTTACCAGTGATACACTGCAACCAGGCCGTTTTTTAAAACTGTGGTGTATGAAAGATTTTCCATCCGGTTCCATTCAGTGGGGAGAACGTTTCACTGCTCCATTTTGTTGAGGCAAAATATTCTAGTTCTTTTTAAGAAGCAAATTTTTGTTCTAAACACAAGTGTCTTGTGTTGGTTTTCAAAAGCTGGAACAAGAGGCAGAATGAAACACACAAAGACGATGTAAGAAACATGTAAAAAGGAATCTTTTTATGACCCCTGTCGGCTTTATGGTGTACTTTTCCACACGGTTCGAGTTCCAGCTTTTACCTCTAAAAACATTTTTAAAACATCTAATCCCTTTTTGGACATCTGGGCTTCTGTAGCAGCTCTTCTCTGCTTTTATATCAGAGCTGTGACTGATACATAGAAATCACCTAAAATTATTCATTATTAAATTACGTAAGTTCATTGGGTCAGCTTCATATTACTCTGCTAATTATTGCATGCACTGGATGAGTGTGTGACTAATTGTTCGTCTCTGTGATGGACTGGAGACCTGTCAGCGGGTCCTCTGTCTGTCACCTGGTGAATCCTGGAAGTAGGCACCAGCTCTCTGCAATCATACAGAGAAAATGCAAAGATTGGTGTGAGTGAGTGAGTGAGTGAGTGAGTGAGTGAGTGAGTGAGTGAGGTTTTAATCACCAGTAAACAACCTAACTCTGCCAGCATCTGACAAAAATCAGTCCTGCAGTCTCCTTAAACTGTGAACTCTATGTTATTCAACTTTATGGTAACTCATGAGAAATCACTGTCGTTTCAATCGTAACTTAAATTGTTAGGATTATTCTTTGTGTTATTATTATTGTTGTTGTTGTTGGATCTGGACTGGGCCAAATATAATTTTTACTTGTGTGTGTGTGTGTGTGTGTGTGTGTGTGTGTGTGTGTGTGTGTGTGTGTGTGTGTGTGTGTGTGTGTGTGTGTGTGTGTGTGTGTGTGTGTGAGTGCTTGCATATGTCTGTTCATGTTTTTAACCTGTTATGGGAATCTGGGGTCATTTTTTAAAGCACTTTGAGTAGCACTTTGTTTGAAAAGCGCTTTATAAATAAATCTGATTGATTGATTGGTTGTTGCTCAGTTGATTTGTATTTTCCCTCAAGGATTTAATTTTTCTCTACTTTCACCCTCATGAACTGAATTTCCATCATAGTCAGCTCTTACACCCCAAACACATGCCAAGCATCCCTCCTGTTATGTTTTAAACCGAACGCCGTAGAATTTGCAAATTCTAACATTACAAATACCTGCCACTGCATCCTAGTGGCCGAAATATTTTCTATCTTTCTCTATGCTCTTAGGGTGACAGCAGGGTTGGTTTTGGCTGTACAGATCATTTCTACTAAAATATGCTTATGAGAAAAGTAAACAGCGCTCATCTGATGAAAACCCTCTTTGATCAGTATTACACGTGAATTATTAAACATGGCTGCAGAAATAATCTTTTTCCGGTAAAACAGGACAGTTTCATATTTTTCAGCAGACTATTGAATCTTTCACATCCGTGTCAAGCATCCTTTAAAGGAATCCCAGGGTGTTATTGCGCTCTGTTTCTGTTCTCTAAAGATTCTGCACTCTGTGTAGGACTGAAAACTCATGGAAGTTACTTCAAATAACAAAGTTTATTTTTGCTGAAAGCTGTTTGTGTTGCAGAGAGATCCGAAACACAAAACGTCTGAGCTATGTTGACCCAGAAGCTTTTAAACACCTCCCAAACCTCAAATACTTGTAAGTATTTTTTAAATACTATTTTTGTGTTTTCATGTTGACCTAATTTTAAAATACATATTATTCCACTTCATCTTATTCAGGGGTATTTTTAATACTGGCTTGACTGTCTTCCCTGCTTTGAGCAACATCCACTCAAATGACATGAACTTCATTCTGTAAGTGTGACATAGTAAAACAAAAACACAATTGCTTAAAAGGTTGCAAAGACTATTTTAAAAGAGCACTTTAAGAAATGTTGAATTGTCTTATCCAAGTTGTGCCGACTGGTTCCTGGCTGCTGAAATGTACAGTGGTGTGAAAAACTATTTGCCCCCTTCCTGATTTCTTATTCTTTTGCATGTTTGTCACACAAAATGTTTCTGATCATCAAACATATTTAACCATTAGTCAAAGATAACACAAGTAAACACAAAATGCAGTTTTGAAATGATGGTTTTTATTATTCAGGGAGAGAACAAAATCCAAACCTACATTGCCCTGTGTGAAAAAGTAATTAAACCAGGGAGTAGGGTTCACTGCAGGAACTGATCTGGTTCTGACAGGACAGATGTTGTCCAGAATGGAGAGGCAGTGCTTGTTAAACTGAGAAGTTAAGGAATCTGGGTCGTTATCAGAAGAACAGGGTGGATCAAAAGCAGCAGAAAAATTGCTAGCTGTGCTCTCATTAAGAAAACGAGAACTAACCATACGGCGAGCAGGAGGTGGGGATGCAGAAACTGAAAAGTTAAAGAAAATGCAATGGTGATCTGAAATATAAACGTCCTCAGGACAAACACTGTCAGCATTTAGACCCAGGGTAAAACCAAGGTCTAGAGTGTGCCCGCTGGTGTGCGTGGGGCCAGAAACATGCTGGATAAAGCTGAAGGAGTCCATAAGGCTGGAGAAATTCATGGCAAAGTGATCAGAGGGATCATCAACGTGGATGTTAAAGTCATCAACAATCACCAGTCTGGACAGCTTCACAGTGGAGGATAGAAAGTCACTAAACTCCTGAAGGAAAGAACTGTTTGGACCAGGTGGACGATAGACCACAGCACAGTAGAGCGGGTCCTTACGCCCGACTTTAATCAGCTGCAGTTCAAAGGAAGCAAAGTGACCAGAGGTTGTAGAGCTACATGGATGATGGTCTCTGAAAACAACAGCTAGGCCTCCACCATGACCAGAACCCCGGGGCTGGCCAAGAAAAGAATAACCACTCGGGCCGAGTTCAATCAGACCAGAATAATCAGATGTTTGCTGCCAAATTTCAGTCAGAAACTGAAAATCCAGGTTTTTAGAGAGAATTAGATCATTGAGCAGGAAGGACTTATTGTTAACAGAGCGGGTATTTAATAGAGCCATGCTGAGTGAGGTGGAGGAATCAGAAACTACAGAAACAGCTGGAGTTAGTGGACGTAAATTAGCAGGGTTAGATCCACGTTGTTTATAAAAACCACTTATGGAGGGAATCGGAGGAGGAACCACTGAGGAATGAGGATAAACTGACCTTACAAAACTTGGACGGAGAAGCTGCGCCGCAACGCGGCCTGGCGGGAATGCGGAAGTGGCGCTCAAGTCGCCAAACAAAGGACAAGAAGCTAGAAGAGCATGCCGATGTTTACTAGATAAACCACGCTTTAAGAGAAGTCATATTCTCACCTGGATTCCTGCTCGTTTACCTCTTTTCCTCCGACATTATCCCGGGACCGGATAAACATAGCTGGAAACGCCATGATTGGAATTGTCTTTTGGCTCCGGGCCAGTGCGCCACTCAGATAAACAAACAGGGAGGTACGTCCTTGGTGCATCTTGGGCGGTTGTGAACGAACAGAAGGAAAAAAGAGTCTGGCGATCAGTATGAGATGGTAGCAGTGACACTACTGAAGAGGATTGCAGACACGAGCAAGGTGGAAAAGAGGAGGTTAGTGGAGAAAAGTTTGAAAAAATGACCGGTGACTGCGGCTAAGCCAAGCACAGGCGCCATCTTGTTACCGCCCGGAAGCGGAAGGTACATCAGAAGCGACTGAGGACATGAGGGAAAGAGGAATCTCCATGCTGATGCCCCACACAGCTGCTACAGATGTGAAGCCGGTGTTCTGACTATCTGTGCTTCCTCGTCGAATTTTCCTACCAACGTGCATTTCAGCAGCTGATTCAGTATGTCCAGGTTTACTGAAAATCTATAGCTACTGTTAATTTATTTTATGAAAAAAAGTGGATAGTGTAAGAAGCAGTTTAGTTATTTCGTAAAAATTAACCCCTTAGTTGCTAAAAACATTTGACTATTCTCAGAACAATGACGATTTACCCGCTACTTTCACCCATGTCGAGAGAGTGATTCATAAAAATGGAGATTTGTAAGACGTTAGTTCTTACCATGCTTTTTCTCTACCTAATCCTTTATTAGACAAATGAATCCGCATAGAACAAATATGCTTTTCCCCCAATACTTATAGCTATTTGTTTGAATGTATAATTTTGGAGATTATTATACAACTATGAAAAATGTATTATATGTATAATATAAAACTTTTGGACTTTGGGACTCTTTCAGAATGACTGTAAACAATGGGAGAAATTTCTTGTTCACAGTATAATAACGATACTTTAGAAGCCATTTACAAGCTAACTGTCAGGTAAACATACAGCAAGCAGTAATTTAATAAAACAACGTAAAGAAATACTTACTGTGACCTTCGACGAGTTGAAAGTAACTAGATAAGTGACGAGATTAAACGTAAACTTCCACAGGTAGCGCGTCTCGGCTTGTAAACAGCCTGTGACGCAATAATCGGCCTTCGCACGTGCTGTGCATGCACATTTCCCCAAAGTAGCACATTTCGAGGGGAGCACGGATAGTCGGAACACCGGCACTCACCTGAGACACAAATTGGAATAAGCAGGTTCCTCATATCCACGCATTTGCAAAAAGTATAAACTGATCTTTAACAACCTATACTTCAGAAATATGTAAGTAGACCTGGAACACTTAGATAAATCAAATGTGCTTGATGAATATTATTATTTTCTACACAGTTTAGATCAGTGACGGCCCTTCCATAGGGGGCGCTAGGGTGCCGCCCCACCAGTCTTACAGTATAAAGAAGAAGATGATAGGACTCACTTTGGGTGTTTCTCAATATCAACAAAACTCACCTTGATGCCTTGGTCCCACCCCGGTTGCCTAGGAGATATATCATCAGGAACTAACAAGATGTGTTCCAGTGTTCATGTGCTACCGAGGTGTCTGTCCTCCATTTGTTAGCCTATTAGTTAGCTGATCTCTTGGTCAAAAATGTATCAGAATACAGCACGGTATATTCAAAATCATGGCGGGTCAGTAGCCAGTAGAAAAACCCTGTATGTGTACTCACCATGCTTCTCAGATCACCACATGTACTGCTTTTACTCACATTCACAGACATTTTGTCCCTTTAGACATAACTTTTGGAGATAAGACGTTCACGAATGAACCGATTCTCTTGAACGGCTCATAAACGTGAACAGTGGGAGCCGAGTCGTGGTTGGAGTGGAGCTGTTCTTTTTTTTCCCAATGCATGTTTCACACAGATGAAACAGAAATTAGCTCCTCCGCAAGACAGAACAACTATGGGGGAGGGGCGCACCCAGTAGGCATGTGACGTTCATGAACAAATCAAATTGTAGGAGGAACGCTACCCAACACTGTGCTCCCTCACAGACACCGGAGGAATACGTTGCTCTTAATACTGCTTTTTTAGTCCCAAATATTTAGTCAACAAAATGAACACTGGCCGCAAACCAATTTTTAAAGTGACCAACAATAACTTTGGAGCTACTAATAACTGAGTTCATGTTTGGAACTCTGATTCCTGTTTTGGGGGAAGGCTACAGATTCTGTTTAGACCTTTGATCATCTGTAAATTAGCTTGTTCACGCGTTCTTTTCAAAAAATTGGTGCTCAGAAAATGTTTTTGTCTCACTCTCATTTCTTCTTGTTGCATATTGAAGTTTTACTTGGAACCATGTTAGGATCCAACCATGCATAATAGGATGTTTGGCCCTTTTTTAAGTGGTCTTAAACTTTTGATCAGGACTCTCCATTACTTTTTACATTTAAGAATCGTTAGGTTTAGTGGAACCAGTTGACATAACTTAGAATATTCAACATTTCATTTCATAGAGTATGGAGCATTTTTGGGTGTAATTTTTCAACACATTTTTTTAAGTTGAAAGCATAAAAAAGTGTGTGTGTGTGTGGGTGTGTGTGTGTGTGTGTGTGTGGGGGGGGGGGGGGGTCCACATTTACAGATTTATTTCTTTATCTTTTGCTCCAACTTGATAGGTTTTTTAAATCAGATTTATTTTTGTATCATAAAATGTAAAAACATTTTATCACACTTTTCTTCACAGGGAAATTGTTGATCATCCCTACATCACAGAAATCCCAGCCAACTCCTTCCGTGGCATCACGAGTGAAGTGCTGACAGTGTGAGTTAAATGCACTTGTGCATTCTTTAAATAAATGTCTAAAAGGGAAATCCTGACAATATCTGTATGAAGTTAAGATAAGGGCTCCAGAAGTGTTGCAACATTTCTTTCTAACATCATCTTTTATCTCTGAATACATCTAAAACCCCCAAATTAGTCCCTATGAAAAACATTCAACGTGGTCTCATTTTGAAAACATGTCCCCGCTTTGACCTCCATGGAACTTCACACAAACAGAAAAAAACTGGCGTGTTTCTGTGTGCTGTTGGCTTTGGGAGTGAACTAAATATTTGATGTAAAAGACACAAAATCACACAAAGATCTACCCTTCTGTTTTTCTCTTCTTATCCAAGGTCGGTCATAGATGCAATATATCCAGGATGAACACAGACACGTTCCATTTCCCAGTGACACTCAATGTGTTCCCTGGTTAGAGAGGATACACAGAATCATCCTGGATTACTCAGATCACCTCAGCTGACTCCTTTTGATGAGGAGGAGCAGCGTTCCCTCCTTTTCCATGGAGCATCTCACTTTATTGGGAGTACCCTATGGAGGAAACTTTAGCCCATCATAAAAGATCTCTGTTCTTCTTGTTCCAAATCCTGTAACCATTGGAGATAGTTGGAACAGAGCCCGACCGGTACAGGAAGAGTTTGGCTTGCAGACACCCTCAGAACTAAACCATTTATAAGAAGCAGAAATGAGACCCTGAGGTTTCACAACTCCTAGAGGTCTTGTTCATGAACACCCCAAACAAGAGGCCCTACCCTGGTAGCACCCCTACAGGATTCCTTGGAGACCATGTAAACTGGAGAGCCAAGTTCCCATAACTCCCCCTCATCATCTCGTCAAGAAAAAAAATCTGGTTCACTGTTCCGTGACCCGGATGAAAGCCACACTGCTTCACCTGGATCTGATGTTCTACTGTCTGTGACTAGAGTTATCGGCCCCTAATATTTATTATAGCTGAGGGTATGAAACAGGATCCCTCTGGAGGTAAAACACACCACCCACTGGGAACTTCCTGACCTCTCAGAGTAAATGCCTCAACACCCTGACTCCTCAGAGTGTTAATTTTCTGACACAAACAAATGAAATATCAATATGAAGTGGGAACAAAGCAGAAGTTAGTCGTATATCTGCACATTTATTAATTTTCTTTCTTTTTACTGCAGAATGTTGTATGGAAATGGCTTCAGAGAGATCCAGCATCATGCCTTCAACGGGACAAAGCTAGACCATGTGTAGGTATCCGTCCTGTCACTGATATTTGGTTTTTCATCAAATAAAACTATAAAAGCTTTTTGTCAAAAGTGAAAAGAACAAGACTTGATCAGTAGATCTCACTCCAACTTATTTTACAGCTACGTTTTTTTCTCTTGTTAGTGAGTGGTTTTTAATTACCTTAACAGTAACAGTATGGTTGTTTATGGAGTGTGCGGTGTTTCATAGTCAGGAAAAGTATCATCATTATTCAATTTGAACTTACTGCTTTTGTTCTGGAGGCTCTGTTCTTCCTGGGAGCCAGGGAAAGGACTTGGGGGAAATATAAATGATGAAAGAATAACTTATACTTTTTAGGAGTGCACCAATATCAGTATCGGTATCTGCACTGACACCGATATTGGTATTGGTGCAGATACCGATACTGGTATAAGTATCGGTCAAAGTTAACCGAAACCAGTAGCCGATGCCAACGCAGTTGGCTTCACTGTAACTTGTCATTTCTTTTCACCTAATATTTTAGTTGTGTGCTAATTTCTGTTAGGAGCTGCATGACTTAATTTTTTTTAAATTCGACTGTCAAGTAATGAAAATCGAGTCGACTTTGACTAATCGTTGATGACGTCATACATCTGAAGCGGCTATAACTGACAATGGGTGACCAAAGGTTTTTTTCCAACGCATGAGGGGGGGGGCACGACATTTTCTAAGTTAAAAACATTTCTTTTAACAACGGTAGTTTCTGCATCTTGCTTCAGCCCTCCCTCCCTTCCCCCAGCACAGCGGCTGCAAACTCACTGATGCGCCTGCAGCCTCTCAGAGTTGCTGCTGCTCTAAACATTAAAATAATTATTTCATTTTCTGTTCCTCACTTCTGATTACCTTCAATGGTGTCTGTTTGTTGCAACCACCAGGTACAAAAACACACTTGTTTTTATTTGACTATTTTTCTGTCCTGTCTGTTTATTATCTTCCTGCATCTCCTCTCAGTCCTAAAGAAAAACTGCTACCTGGGTTCATATATATTCACCTCATGAGTTACCTTTGAACTGCAGTTCTAAAAGATCTACCGACCGCAAAAACAGCGGAGTGCGAGCTATGCGCCGGCCGCATCAGTGAGTTGACGTCACCGGAGGACAAAACAGGTGATGCGCCCCGCTCCACAGCAGCGAAACGCATCAGGCACAAATAAAAGACAGAAAACATAAAAGGAAATGAGCCGACATGAACGATCGCATGTTCAATTTGTTTTTGAGGTGGCGACACCTAATTTGATAATGTTACTGTGGTCGTGATCAGGACGCAGATGTCTGGAGCGCGTCAACAATCAGAGCTTTGCATGTGCAAGCTGGTTAAGGTGAGGATGGGGGTGAGGGGAAGGTTAAATTGCAAGAGGGTAAATGTCACAATTCGGTCAAATGTCCGTTTTACGGCGGGTGTCAGTACCGACGCTCTGGCACAGCGCGTCGCCTCCCGACGGGCAGGAGTTCGTCACCTGCTGTCTTTTCCAAGGACTGCATCTTGTCGGTCATTATCACATGACAGCGACTAGTCGATGAAAGGCATAAAAAGTCACTACAGAGCAGTGAAGTCAACTAGTTGATACAACCCCTAATTTCTATTCACATATTTTACTTTTTATCTACCTCATACGCTTTTCCTGTTGAAAGCAGAGAAGAAAATAAAGCCTGTATTCCAATTCATAGCATTTTTTTGTGTGGTAGAAGTATCGGTATCGGTAATCGGTATCGGCGAGTACTCAGATCCAAGTACCAGTATCGTATCGGTTTGGGAAAAAGTGGAATCATTGCATCCCTTTATGGAACAGAAAAGGATCAGATTTAAGCCTGATTTATGCTTCTCCGTCTGCGTCAGTGTGGAGCACACGCAACACCATTATCCGTCCTTGCGTACGGATCCGGCAGGCACGCAAGTGCGTATTGAGTCGAGCCCACTTTTTTAAACATCCGTCAAATGAGACAGATTACGCAAGCTTGTGATTGGTCAGGATGCCGCTGTTGTTTACAGCGCCACCATTGCAAAGAGAGCCGAGTTTAACTAGCGGCAGACACGGAGAAGCTTGAAGAATACCTCGCGAAACAACTCTAAAAATATGAACGTTTCATCCTCCCGTGACTGGAGGAGTGAAAAGATGCACAGCAAGCGTTTTATTTGTGGACGGAAATGACAGGAAACGTGGGTTTAGAGGTGGGGAGCGCATGAAGCGGTGGGAGAATGAGAGACAAATATGTCCGTGTTAAAAGTCTCATATATACACAAAAAACACAATATAAACAAACGATCTTGGACCGGATACATGACATGATACCACAGAACAGCGCTACGCCATCTGTGGTCCTGCCGGGCAATTGCTTTGCAACACTCTCCAGGAGACAGAGAAGTAAAAGAGCAAAACGCTTCCGTCAATCCGTGCTTGTCTGTCCCTTGCGGAGCTGACGTAGAAGCATAAACCAGGCTTTAGGCATTTTTAAGTTACTTACGTACCCCAGCTTTAAGCCCATGAAAGTTGAGACAAAGCAGATGGGACAAAACTTTAAATAACTCGTATTTTTTTTGTCTGCAGCAAACTTAACTCATCTTAAGCTTGTCTTTAATTTGAAGCTTTAGTACTTTTGGGTATCCTCTTTCTTCTCCAAAAGGATATTAAACATTGTTTTGCCCATTTTAAACCCTTTCTGACGTCTGGGATGTGTATTTCCTCGCCCCAAATTACGCTACAAAAGCAAAGGGATCCCAGTCGCTTCTCTTTGGGTTGTCTCGTGTGTACTAAGAATGTCTCAGTCCAAATTTTGATTAGTAACATGAAATAACAGGATGTCTGGTTTAGGAGTTCCTGAAAATGACTTTATATTTCAAAAATGTCTTTCTTTTGTGTCTTAAAGGTGTAGATTAGGAGTCAATGAGATGAATGCAGGGATAAAAACTTTCTTGTTTATCATAATCTACTCCAGAACCATGGATGTTTACGATATGAGGTATTGATCAAATTGAATTAAGACGTCTCTCTTCCTTTTTACATCGCCTAAACTCAGAGCGATGGCTTCATTAGGCTAGTTTAAGACATGAGCTGTTACTAGTGAGTTTTACCACACGGGTGTTTGTTTTGGCGTCTGATTTCCTCTGAGAAGTGAACTGATCCCAGCTCAGCTGGACCAAGACAAACACACCCCTCGCAGGTCTATTATTCTCATTAGATTTAAGGGATTTGGGGGGAGATGTGTGTGAGGGTGCGCCATGTTTAAGCGGTACACCTTCATGCTGTCTAATTTGAATCAACAACATGCAGTAAGTGAGACCTTTTCTGTCGTTTTCCACCTCCTGTAATAAGAGAAAATAAACACAGGAATGTGCAGTGATGAGGCTTGTGAAAATATTATGCCTTCCCTCTGCAAGTCTGACAGAAATGTGCACAGTGTATTTTCTCTTAAGAGAACTTGTATTTGTGTCTTTTTTTGTCTAGTGACCTTCACAGGAACAAGTTTTTGACCAGGATGGATACCAAGGCTTTTGCAGGAACCATCAGTGGCCCCATGCTTCTGTAAGTGAGAATATCAAAACCTTTTTTTTGTCTGCTGGGTGTGGAACTAACTACAAAAACCTAATAAATAATTTTCATGGCTTGAGGTGGAACAAATTATGTATTAATCAAAGTTACATGAAAATAAGTTTTTAGATTTTGTTTAAAAATTACGACAAACTGCCATCAAACAGTCTCATTCAGTCTTGGTCATTGGTTTTCGTCAACAGGCAATCTGTTATGTTAGTTTGTTCACAGCTTTTTTTTTTAACCATATTGTCATTAATTTTATTTTGCTTGAACTTTCCACATGTGCTGGGAGTTGAAAATTTTGTAAGAGAAAAATCTGTAAACTGCTTTGGAGGTGCAGGCTGAGGAAAATCAAAAATAAATCCAGGAAGCTGAAGGGCTGTGTGTCAGAGTCCTAATATTACAATATTTAAATATTACATTCACCCAAAAAACCATAAAAGACAGAAGAGGCAGAAAAAAGTCTGGTTTTATTTTTGATTTATTCAAGATTTTATGTCTTTATTGTAATTTATTTGTGTTTTTTAATGCTTGGTTTGTATGTTGTGCATAGGGTCTCACCCCAAAATCTTCTCTGGCCATCCCTGTGAATATTTCCTGGGGGGGCACCACTCAAAGCTAATGAACAACATTTACTTATGTCATTTTTTTTCTGCAGATTAGAGCAAAGAAAAAGAGAAACGCAGTAGAATGTTACATGTCAGCGTACATTTTATAAAAATTCTGGGTACTTCAACATATTTTGTCACATACAGCGAGATGCTGCGTGTGGGCGCAGCAGGTAGCACAGTTTTTTTACACAACAAAAGGTTGCAGGTTCAAGTCCCAGCTGTAGCCTTTCTGTGTATAGAATATTCTCACCATGCATGCATGGGGTTTCTGCAGGAACTCTGATTTCCTCCCACCCACCAAAGCCATGCATGTCAGGTTAAAACGTTAAGACTCTTTGGATAAAAGCATCTGGTAAACAAATCAACAACGTCTACATCTTACAGATTTACCATTGCTTCATTTAATTCACAACAAAGTCATGCCCAGTGTTTTCCTGGAAACACCATGCACTGGAGAATGTGTTTAATTTGTGATAGTTGGAGTAGAAAAAAGATCTACAGGACATTCTTTTAATCAGTGAGCTTAAGAGCACTGATCCTCCAACCTGTTAACGACGCCTCGACTTGTGTCCTGTTTGTACTTTAATTTTCTTACCATATAAGCCAGTCATTCGTTAGCTTTTCCATTTTTCACTTCTTGTACCAGGTGCAGCAATCCATTTAATGAGGATAGGTCAATATTTTTAGGCCCTGGTCTGGTAATTATTCACACTGTGTCAGGTTACGATGAATTTCAACAATATCCTCATTCGTGTCTGCAGGACAGGATAAAGTAAAGATTATTCCTCTAGAGCTGTGATGCTGTGACCAGGATATCCGATACGTATCATGTGCTAGTCTGCAGTGAACAAACTCCAGACTTCTCTCTGACGCGGTTGTTCTTTTTGCTTTTTCTTTACATTAAACGACCCTTGACACCAAGCCTGTTTACGTGGTTGCTGTTTTAGTGGCTGTTTGGTGCCTTGGGGTTTGTTGTGCACAGGTTTTTTTTTTATATACCTCTGTTCCACTCAGAAACATGCCCTGAATGAAGTCACTTCCATGAGGTCATGAGCTAAACATCTGGAAATGACAAAATCAGACTTAACACTCTTAGAATCCATGCGGCCTTACACAATGAGCCCCCTCGAGAGGAAAAGAGAGTGGAGGACAGAGAAGTGGGGGTGTGCGAAGAAGACAAACAGGACAAGCTCTTAGCAGAAATGGAATTGACTCACTGGTTTATTTTTGATCGAATTAATAAATCAATTAGCGGGTTAGAAAAGCTTGGACTCTGCTTTGTCCTTGTGAGGAGACAGTTTCCAGTTCTGAACACAGGAATGTCCTGATAATGGGATTACACAAGTTGTTGGTTCATTTATCAACCCCCTGCAAGCCCAAGTCCCAGAGAGCCTGGCCTGCCTTTAGGCATGATGGCTCGAGAAATAAAACATATAATTACTTAAAGATGGAGGACTGAGGGCTTCATACTAGGAAACAGATGGAAGGTGCTGTTTAATCCATCTAGGAGCTCTCTGGTCTCATCATGTCTAGCCTTCTCTTCTAGGCCTGTAGTGTGGCTTTGAACTCCAGACCTGAGACAGCCATGTCGTGACTACAGTGCTTTTCTTTCAGTCGGGAAAAAAAAACATTGTGCTGAGTATTATACTAGCATGCAAGGAACATGTTTGGAAGCTTTGGAATCCAGAAAACTGCACACGATTAGCTTTCTGATTGGTGTCTCGTTTGTAACTATGGAGGATTGAATCCCACGCTGGTTCAATCACAGGAAACACAATTCAATCTTTGTTTCGTTTGAATCTAAAACATTTTAAAAAATGTGAGTACATCCTTGATGTAGTATTATATACATCCTTGTAATGTCATCAGATTCATATTACGCAATGCCAGTTTATGGGAGTTTCTATAAAACAGCAAATCATCACCACAGTACAGGTTCACATCCCAAGTAAGCACTGGGTGATGGACAGTAGGACGAAACAGCTTCCTGTTATCAGCAGCTACAGAACCAGCCTGGCTAGTTTGACAAGACTGGCTGGTTTTATTCAAGCCTCTGGTCCTCAAAGTTTGATCAGAGAAAAACTGACAGTGTTAGAATATAGAATAGAATAGAATAGAATAGAATAGAATAGAATAGAATAGAATATAGTAGACTTGATTTATCCCACAGTGGGTAAATTCACTCGTTACAGCAGAACATACACTTAGAGGAAAGGAAGAAAAAAAAATAAAGGCAATGATCTATTATTGTACAATTAATAAAAAGGAAACTTGGGTTTCCAGAACTGTGCAGCGTAAGGGACACATCCGGTATTGCACAAGTGTTGAACACATACCAATTATTGCATTGCATTTGTTAGGGTTTGGGTTAGGGAATGAATGACCTACGCCAGCGTTCTGTTTTACGTCTTGGATGTCTAAAGGAGCTGTCCATGGCCACCACAGTGGGAGAGAGGGAAGGAAAGGGAAGGGACCACCATCAGGATCAGAAGGGTTTATTGCCACGTGTGCGAGAATCACAACATTAGGAAATCGCTGCGGTTCTTGGTGTAAGAAAAAATAAATAAGCAAAAATTAGAAGTTAGAAATAAACACAATGAAATGATAACAATCTAGGGAGGCAATCATTAGAGAAGGGTACAGTCAGTGTAGTGATTGCCCCTCTGAGTCACTAGGTTGGTGTGAAAAGCATGTGATGAAGACATACTGGTCACAAATTGGGATTTTTTTAAATTGTGTATCAAGCTTTAAGACTTTGAGTTTTGTTTGAGTCGTACAAACTAGGAATGTTATGATAGATTGATCTACGTCTACATTGATTATTTTGTCCACATTGATTGTGAGGTCGTTGCTCCAAAATACAAAAATAGATAAAAATAACTGTTTCTCAAACAGCCTTTTTGAAGAAAATAGCTTTATTTTGAAGTTCTGCTGACATGCTGTTTTCCACTTGTTCCTGCAAATCACCAATCGTGTTAAATGATGATGCTAGCAGCATCGTGGCAAGCAGTCAGTGAAGAAATGGTCTCTCCCATGGGCAGCGATGGTGTTCAATAACTTGTGATATTGTTTCACATCGATCAAATGAAATAGAAATGGTAATGTGACTTTATTTGAGACATCAGCAAACATCGAATTACAATCCAATATCGAACAATATTGATATGAATGCCTTGATATTTGATTTCTGTTACTGACTCTGTTGGTTGTTTTACTGATTATCTAAATGTCCTTTTCTTTTAATGATCTGGGAACTGTTTTCTGTAAGAGTGTTGATTATTGTTGCTGGTTGAGCTGCTGCCTGACTCGACCAGGACGCTCTTGTAAATGAGATTTTTCATCTCAAGGGTTTTTTTTACTGGTTAAATCAAGGTTACATACATACATTCATAATATTGTATTATATTGTTACCAAACTAGTAATTTACACCCAAGTACAAACACTGATCTACAGCCATCACATAAAATAAAATCAGCTGCTTTTCCTACAATGAACTGATCGATGATTGGTCATGTCCAGGTCTTTTTAGATATACGTATGCATTCTAACCTCTCCTGTACTTTGTTTTTAAACGTCTCGCACCTTATAATGTACTTTCTTCAATTCTTCTCATTTCTTGTTGGTCTTTCAGAGACGTGTCCCAGACTGGGATCACATCCCTGCCCTCTACAGGCATGGACTCTCTGCGGGAGCTGAAGGCACGCGATACCTGGGCCCTTAAGAAGCTGCCTCCCATCAAAACCTTCAAACACCTGACCATTGCAAACCTGACCTACCCCAGCCACTGCTGTGGCTTCAAAAATCTCAAAAAGAAACGGGGGTGTGTTCTCTATTACTTCTTTCTTAACTGAAAGGGTTGGAAATGTACGTGAAGTGGTGGCATTTTCAGAAGTGTGAGGGGTGTTTGGAAGTATTTAGAGAGCCACTATAGAGAGTGAGGGCAGTGTGGACTTTGGCAGGGTTTGAATCCACTCTTTGATAAGTCTACCTTTCATTTCTGACAGCGCTGACCTAATAAGTGCCACTTAAGTTATTGTAGGAAAAATTTTGAGTCAGACCAATGACGCCTGCAAATATAAAAATTCCATCGCTTCATCTGATTGAATAAATGATTTAATTGTACTATTATTGCTAATGAGCTTTGCAGTCTGGTGTGTTTTTAAAGGTGTGGAACACTTGTTGTATCGAAACACATGCATTAGTCTCTAGTAGGAACATGGTATTAACTAGTGATGTGCGAATTACTCGAGAATCACTTTACTGACTCGCGAATCATGATTCACAACCCCAAATGTCTCATTGACTGACTCATGCCTGTTAATGTTAGCCACTCTTTCTCGCGGGGCACCAACACCCAGTTTCTGGCTAATATCCTGAGCAGGAATTAACACCTTGTAAGTCGTTCTCTGGAAAAAGCTCTGTTGAGCCTGTTATAAGAACTAGCAGTGAGTTAGATCAGAGTTGAGCTCACTGTGAGAGGATGACCCTGAAGGAGTTCTGCTGTGTGGTGAAGTTGCTAATGCTAACTGTTAGCTTCTACCAGCTGAGACATTCTCTGTTGTTTCCTGGATGCTAAACCAGCAACAGCCGCCCCCCGTCCTGAGTCAAGAAGGGTGAGGGTGAGTCCATGAACGTTACGTGACAGTGTGACAAACATCTGTCAGGATTTTTTAATCCTAGAGTTTCAGGCTAATGCAGAAGATAGGTGAGGGAGACTGTTTTCCCTTCAGCCTGCTTTAAAAACTCAAAGTGATCGATTATAATCAGAAATAATGATTTAAAAAATGTTTTTTTTCAGTGAGCCACACCTTTAAAGTCATCTAAAAAACACCACATATATGACTCAGTCTAATTGAACTTGTCTGTGTTTTGCAGCTTTTTAGAGTACATCATCTGTAACCTTACTGCGTTCTATGACCAGCATCGCAAGCGCTCTGTGGGGCCTCTTCACATGCTGTCCCTTCAGGGTGACGGTGCTGTAGAAACACCTCCAGACCTGGAGCAGAGCAGCAAAGGTCACAGAGAGTCCCAGCATGTCTGGAGGACAGGAGACTTCCATGGCAGCCTCCACCACCACACCTTCTTTGAGGGCAAACAAGAAGAGGAAGTGGGGTTTGGAGAGACCCTCAAGAACCTAGAGGAGGACAACAGCCAGGACTTTGACAGTCGTTATGACTACGTGATGTGCGAGGAAGGAGAGGAGGTGAGATGTTCGCCAGCGCCTGATGAATTCAATCCATGCGAGGACATAATGGGCTTCGGTTTTCTGCGAGTGTCTGTGTGGTTTGTGAGTTTGATGGCTGTTTTGGGAAACATGGTGGTGCTCCTGGTGCTGCTCACCAGCCACTATAAACTTTCAGTCTCCCGCTTCCTCATGTGCCACCTGGCCTTTGCAGATCTGTGCATGGGGGTTTACTTGCTGCTCATCGCCTCGGTGGACATCCACACTCAGTCTGAGTACTTCAATCATGCCATAGACTGGCAGACAGGTCCTGGATGTGGACTTGCTGGGTTTTTCACAGTCTTTGCCAGCGAGTTGTCTGTGTACACACTGACAGTGATCACACTAGAGAGGTGGTATGCCATCACCTTCGCCATGCGTCTTGATCAGAAGCTGCGTCTACACCATGCTGCAGCCGTCATGTTGGGTGGCTGGATCTTCTGCCTCCTCCTGGCCTTGCTCCCACTGGTTGGTGTGAGCAGTTATCAGAAGGTCAGCATCTGTCTCCCAATGGATACTCAGTCCACAGCAGCTCAGGTCTACATCTTGTTGGTGTTGCTGCTGAACATTTTTGCTTTTTTCGTTATTTGCGCTTGCTACTTCAAAATCTACTGCGCAGTTGACAACCCTCACTACCATTCCGGATCCAAGGACACCAACATCGCCAAGCGCATGGCAATTCTCATCTTCACAGACTTCCTATGCATGGCCCCGATTTCCTTCTACGCCATGTCAGCTGTACTGGACCGGCCCCTCATAACTGTCTCCAACTCCAAGATTTTATTGGTGCTCTTTTACCCGCTCAATTCCTGTGCTAATCCATTCCTTTATGCTATCTTCACCAAGGCTTTCAGAGGAGACATATTCATCCTCCTCAGTAAGATTGGTCTATGTCAACAGCGAGCACAGCTGTTTAGAGGCCAGACCGTCTCATCAAAGGGCAGCAACGGGACTTCACAGGTCCGTCGAGACAAGGTTAGGAACGGAGGAAGCATCAATCAAGAAGAACTACCCCTCAGCCAGAGAACAAACACAAAGGAGAGCCAAAGACTGGACACATGAGCCCAACACCTGCTGTAAAGGGAGACACATTCAGGAGGGACTGGCTTAAGGTGTTAGAGGACCGATCTGTTGGAACTACAACAGAAAATTTCAGTTTTCTGTATCAGTTTCAGTTTGGAGACCAAGTTTCATCTGCTTTCAGCTGTGATGATTTTAGGATTATACTTGTTGGAAGATATCAAGTGTCCCAGTTTTAGTCTCATTGTTTGTTGGAATTGCTGGAATAGTACCAACTTTTTCACAGGGAAAGAAAAACGATATAAAAATTACCTTTTTGAGGCCTATTGGTTGTACCTGATTATTGTGTTCTCGGGTCTGCGGGTGCAACTGTGGGAACTTCATCCAGCTTGTTAAAACACAAAAACACACAGTGTCTCTTATTATCACAGTAGCTGTGTTTATTATGTAAGTATACAATGAAAATGTATGGATGAGAAAAGGACTCTTTGCTGCTTTATTCCTTTTTGAGTGTTTTCTGAGAAATAACCATGGTCATGTGTTTTATGGTTCATTGCTGGACATAGTTTGACAAATATCAGATGCATTATATTATCAGAGTGGTAAATATTCTGTCTACTTTTGTTCTTTATGAAAATGATGTCAGGAATTGCACATTGATCTAGAAAGTTCTTTTTCACTCATTTTATTATTGGCAAGTTTCTATATATGCAACTGAAATGTGTTTAAAATCATAAATCTAAGCTGTCAAAACTGCTTTTCATTTTTCTTAGATTGTGTCTGTTTTTATTGTGCAAGTGTTTAATCATGGATGACTGCTGCCCCCCAAAAATACGTCAATCTCAAATGTCAAAACTGTTTCTTCCCTAATATGATTTTTGAAAATATCTCACCTCCCACTCGTGAGTCCCGTGATTTGGGAGTTCCAGACTTTTGCAAAAGTGAAATAAATGTAACATGAAGGATACTTAAAGTAAATCTGTTTCAAACTCGCTCACCATTCTGTAATGGTTTATTTTACATGTTATTTAATAAGCCATAAGACATGAGATTCCACAGTAAATATGAAATCAATCCTATGGATCTGTGGATACTTTTAACCAGAAGACTGGAACTTTTTATTGCAGGGATTATGTAACACTTCTTATTGACTGAGAGACAACAGAAGAGAGAGTCAAGTTTTAAAAGTTTAAAGATTTATTACTAAACAAATTAAAACTAGACTAACTTTAACACTAAACGTATGGTGTAACTAAGGTGAAGTGAGACGGAGAATGGTGTAGTGTGGAATGTTGTTCAGAACCAGCAAATCTAGAGAAACGATTAGTTCTGGTGGGAATGAAGGTGATGTCTTTCATTCTAAGCTTTGATTAGGAGATTCATAAACACATTCGACCCCATGTTGTCGCTCCACACATACCGTTAGAATGAGACCTCCGTACAGATCCAGAATGCCAGGTCCTCGAACCCCCTTTCGGTACCGGAGCCGATGAAACAGCGCCAGCAGTTCGATTGACTAGTCTTTGGATTTTCTCCAGGTAAAAAGCGACAGTTGGTTGACAGCGTCAGATGGACACAGAAGGTCAGTGAGTTCAGCTTTTATTCTGAAAGGAACCATTGCAGCAGGTGGAACAGCAACAGATTTTATCCAGCTTGTCGTTGGTTCTTTTGGCTGAAGAGGAAAGTTACGGATTGGCCACTCCGACAACTTCTCTAGAACGCTTTGAACTGGTGTTAAAGATGACGTGGGCATAGTTTTATACTTCGGATGTTTTGGTTTATGGTCGAATGAAAAGATGACACATTTACCAAGCATCATCAAAACCACGCCTCCGTCAGATCTGGCAGATTCTGATTGGATCAGTAAAAGCAATGTGTCATGTCTTAACACTACGTGAGATCAGTCCTAGTGGAAACATTTAAAGTCATATTACTTATTATATTCTCTAGGATTATAATAAAGTAATTAATATTTTGATTTCACAGATTGGTCACATCTTATTATTGACTAACACTTTATTTGATTAGCTTTATTGAAAATAGAGTTCTTTGATTTATTAAAAGGAGGGAGTCCTTTCTTCATTCTTGGGCTGGAAAGGAAGCAGTTTAGAGCAAATGCATGAGACCTTGAGGCCATATCTCATGCAGATTAGTTCTGTGTGAGAGGAGAGGGGGAGAAATGGCTTTTAGTTGGAAAACAGTCATTTCATTCTGTTACATCGCACTCATCTGGGATTATAAAGTACGTCCTGCTGCCCCAGCAGGTGAAGCTGGTTCATGAGCTCAAACAGATCGGTTGTCTTCCCGACTTTGTCAGAACCTTCGCTCACATCATTAGCTTCACAGCTACAATGCTAGCCAAACTACGCTCACATGGATGAACAGTTTGTTCACTTATTGACTATGATGTCATTCGCTCTGCCGTGCTCTGTTTAACCAGCCATGTGGCCTGTTACCAGCAGCAGCAGGCTGAAGATGCACGAACATAACTTCTCGTTCTATCGCCCAGCCCTAGTTTATCAGGAAAGTATTTGTTTCCACTCCTTTTGTCAGCCCTGTTATTTGTATTGTTCCACAGCAACTTATAAGGAACTCCCACTCCGTCATCAGAACTGAAGAGAGGTGAAACATCTTCTAGTACCAAATAACTCCACATGGCTTTTTCAAAACTCTTTGGATAGATAGCCATTTCATGGTTAACATTCCCATTGTGGGGTTTTTAACAAATAAAATGGTTAGTAGCTGCAGAAATTAGAGGACAAGCTACGTAGCTGTGGTACATCTGGTTGGAATTTTAGAAACATCCTGCAACAGAAACTAACGAAAACAGGACGACATTGTGGATGTTTCTAAAATAGTGTTTGAACAAACTGCTATAATATATTTTTTAAATTGTACCTATTTGTGTTGTGGCTAGTCTGTTGTCTCTCTTGTCAGATCTAATCTCTTCCTCCAAACACGAGTTTAAATCTGCACAAGGCAAGATATTAATTATTCATAACTTTTTCACAGAATCCCACTTCAAATACGTGTAACTAGTATGGTGTAGACTAATGAGCAACACCACACTAGCTTTTCCTCTGCCAGGTCACATGCTGCTCAGAGGATGAATTATAACAGTTCTGTTTGTTTTAGTATGTAAAGCATGGCATTCCCAGTTCTATATGACGTTGATGCAATGAGAGTAAAAAAGAAAGCATCTGGTTTCCAGACCTGACTCAATAAAGTTCCATAAAGTCTCCACATTTGACCCATCCCCGTAGGGAGGGATGAGCTGCAGCAGTGGCTGCACTCGGGAACTATTTGGTGGTTTAATCCCCCAATCTAACCCTTATTGCTGAGTGTCAAGCAGTGAAGCATTGGGTCCCATTTTTAAACTTTTGGGTATGACCCAACTGTGGATTTGAAGTCCCAGAGTGAACATTCATACCACTAAGCCATTGATATTGGGCCCTATTATGGAAAATTCACTTTTTATATTAGCTCTGTACCCTGTGATATTGTTATTTCCTCATGAAAAATACCCCCAAACACATTTTTGGCTACATTCGTGCGTTTTCCTGTATCATCTGCAAGTTTTCAGGTTTTGTGACAAGCCTGACAAGCCTTGATGGAAACTAAGTGCATCATCAGGCCCCACTACTCCTCCTGGAGCTAGTCTTGGATCTGAAACCCGTCTCTCCTGGAAGTAGGTCACTAACTCCCATTTTCTCCGAGTTACAGGCAAAGCATGGCTGTTTTCATGCTACAGTTGAGAATGTGACCTTCATGTCACAGGTGACTGCTTTAAACCTCCACCAGTACCATCTTTTTTTAGCTAGCTAGTTTTCAACTCTTCAACAGTTTAAAATATAAGGATTTTTTTAACTTCATTTATCCAGTGTGATAGTGAGGTGAGCAGAGTAAATCAAATCAAATGCAGCTTGACCAAATTCAAAGATCTTAAGAGACACAAAGTAGTTTGCAGAAAATAATCAATAAAATTAAAATATATTAAAAAAACTAAATCTGGTTCAATTGGCAAAATAAATTATGTTTAACACCAGGAGTAAAACCAGCTTCAGCACATGGCAACACAAGATGAATGGCATACGCTTTAACTAATACACTAAAACCCCTAAAGGAGGCTCTTGCCATATATATATATATATATATATATATATATATATATATATATATATTGTGGCTGTATGGAAAAAAACACACTGCTATCAATACGCGACTTACACTTTCATGAAAGTTTGCGAGAAACCCCCAATATATAAAAACTTTAACATCTAAAGAGAGGAGGAGGTTTAGAGAAAAGCTTAAAATAAACATTGAAGACAAAATTGAAGTTATCAAAAGCCCGTATGAGCTCTGGGACAACGACAAACATTGGTCCGATTCATCTGTGTTATTTCCACAAACTTGCTGGGTAGATATTTATTCCTATTCAATAGAAAGCAATGGACCCTTCACTCATGATAAAATAATGACTTTCAAAACTCCGGAGGCCAACGATATGTTTCAAGGAATTCCTATATATGTATCATGTATGTATGTACGTATGTATATATATACTCTCTCTCTCTCTCTCTCTCTCTCTCTCTCTCTCTCTCTCTCTCTCTCTCTCTCTCTCTCTCTCTCTCTCTCTCTCTCTCTCTCTCTCTCTCTCTCTCTCTCTATATATATATATATATATATATATATATATATGTATATATATATATATGTGTGTGTGTGTGTGTGTGTGTGTGTGTGTGTGTGTGTGTGTTCATAAACCTGTTTGCGCACACCAGAACAAATGCAGTCACTTTAATGTTCGTCAGGCAAAATACGAACAATTCAATTTCACATTCACCAAAAAAGGAACCAGTTCACGAACGATCGTTCAATGACCGCATTCGGGCACACCCCTGGTGGGCATGGGTGGAGCTTCACTTAAATGGGTACAGGTACAAATTCAGGCAATCAAAAATCTCAAAAGTGCCAACTGTAACATTTTATCATAGATTGATTCTACCTTTGCTCTCAAAGGTTTAAAATATGCGGCTCATTTAATTTCCCAAGCAGGACACCATTTTCATGAGAACATTTCTGCAGTTTTGTGTCCATTTCTTCCAATCGCCCATTTGCAACAATCCAGCAGAGATCCTTAAGATCGCTGAGCTGAAGGGTGATGCACCTGGATGCATTCATGAGGGCCTCCTGTAACAGGAAAAAATAACAGAACCCCTGCTAATTCATGGAGGATGTTGGTGGAGTGTACTTTTAGAATGCTTGAAGTGAATAAATGTGTTTTTCCAATCAGGACCATCCTGGAATTCCACACAGAACTGTAGTTAGACCCATGGTTAGAGAACCAGCCCGAATGGGCTTGGTAGGGATTTATTGTATTTTCCTCTTTTATCTGATTCTCAGTGCTTGCTGAGCATTTCTCTCCAGGTATTAAAAATAAACTAAGACATTCCTCAGATAAGCAGGGTGGGTCCCACCAAAGCACATCAACAGATCAAGTTGCTAAAGTCCATCGGGAAAAGATCCGGGAAAAGGAACTGCTGTGTTTTCGAGTCGCCTCCGTTAATCAGGGAAGGTGAAAGACAGAGCGTGGGTTCAGGTCCCTTTGAATGAGGAAAACATGAACAATACCTTAAAGTTATTGACCAAAATGTGCATGAAATTTGTAGAAATTCGGTGAGCTGGGTTCAGTTTTTCATTTTGCAATTTAGTCAAATCAAAATCAAAATTCTCTCCTCTACACTGAAGAACTGTGTTTTGCATACATCACTCAAAGATGACTTACAGGGCAGATGCTGCTGCTAATACTGTTGTTAGCAGAATATTGTTCAACTTTGTGCTCTCAATGATTTCATAAAATTGTGTTTACAGCTGCAGCAAAAGGTCTGAGCCACATGTCGGAGTCCTACACGCAATTCTAACTAAGTAACAACGTTAAAGTCATAAAACCGTTTGTGAGGAGAAACGTGAACTGGAAGCACAACACTAGCTTCAATCAAACCTGCAGTGACCATTAGACCGTTAGAGTACTGCTGATGTTTATTACTACAGGGGCTTTGCTCAGAGGTTTGAGCTAAAAATAAAATCTACAAATTCCAACAATTTCATGTGGAACCGCTACCGGTCCTTCTGGACTCGTGCCTCGTTATCATGACGGCAGCAGCACGGCTAACCGTGTTAGCTCCAATGAGGAAAAAATAATTTGCATAAGAAATGGCTGCTGGCTCTGGAGCAGCTTCTGGATCTCTGAGACTTGGAGCTCCTTCCATCTCCTACACATCTTTGGGGGGCAGATCTGTGGCCCCTCACACTCTCTATTGGACCCTCCTATAGAGAAACCTTACATATACAAGCGCTTGTACACACAGGTGCTCACATGGTGCTCTCATAAGTATGGACAGTGATAAGTATCAGTGATAGCTTGTTCATATTCATAGCTTGCTGATATTCATATATCCTCATGTTGTTGGCACAGTGATATTTTGGTTCTGTTGTATTTGTTTTTGTGTGCCCCTCTTTTCTTTCTCTCTCTCTCTTTCCAGGTCTAGAAGTTGAGCTCAATTGGCTACCGCTAACTGCACACGTTAAATTCAAATCACTAGCATACAAAGTCCTGGATGGTACAGCTCCCATCTACCTGAATCCTCTTGTAAAGGCTTACATCACGGATCGGCCGCTCCGGTCATCAAAGGACCGTTGGCTAGCAGTGCCTACAACACGCTCAGGATTATCCAGACTTCATGTGTCATTCCACAGATGTGGAATGACCTACCATGCAATACCAGAACAGAGGCATCCTTGTCGATTTTCAAGAAACTCCTGAAGACCCTGCTCTTCAGAGACCATCTTCTAAACTAGAACCCTCCCAGCACCTGTCCCCCCTACTGTCCACTCCTTGTTCACTTCCCTTTATGATTCATTATGCTTCCTCACTGCCACCTAGGATTGACTGAATAGTGTTTGTTGTTAGCCTCAAGGGCAACCTGCTGGCTTGAT